TTGTATTTCAAGTCACCCTATGGCTGGGCTTCATTTGGTTTATTAGTGTATTTATTTTCTATTTTTCTCGGATGCTTTGGGAATTTGATAGTGTTTAGAAGTGATACATTGGTTTCGGACAAACTGCCATAATAAATGTCCATAAAACGGTCGTTTCTGTTGACACAACAACAGTGGCGAAATAAATGCAATAATAAGCCACAAACATTACAGTGTTTGGCAAACAAAGACAACAAACAAAAAACTGTTAGAGATAAATGTAGAGAAATACTATATACTATACTACTACTTCTTATTTACTTATATTTATTTTTTAATAATTTTATTTATTCATTTTTATTCCCTAAAAATGTTCCTTATTATTCCTTTAAATTTTCTGGAAATTAAAAAAATCAGGAGGAACAGTGCAGTCGACGTCGGCAGAGCGAACAGCGCCCGACCTACGACCACATTAAAAGAAAGAGAGAAAGATAGGGGGGAAAAGCAAAATGGCAAAAAAAAAAGAAGAGAGAGACAGCCGGCAAAACGTCACTGTTAATGTTAACAACATGCGGAAGCGCACTGCACGCTGTTATTTTCGCTTTCTGTTTTCCCCCTGTTATCGTTATCGTTATCCTGTTATGTTATGAAATTTTAAAATTCTAAAATCAAAGCAGCTGATTTTCTATCTCAATGTTAGTTTACATTGCCTTACAGCCGCGGCCAGCAGAATAGCAATACATTCTTATTTTATTATAAATTGGGTAAGAGCACTATAAATAAATGGGAAAATATTATTTAAATTATATATTATTTGTGATACATTTTAATAAACATGGCCTTCTTCCCTCGATTTCCCCTTTTCTCCGAAAATTTTCTTGCTGTTATCAGCTGTCCTTTTATTTGTGCTTTCATTCCATTACACACCAAAAGAGGGGAACGCGGCAAAATGCAAAAAGAAAATCCGCAGAACCACCCACCCAAAAAAAAAAAACCAAATAGACCAAAAATGGGGCGGGGACAGTGGGCGGTGTATAGGCATTCTGGGTGATTTTCAGGTGGGTGGTGCAAATATGCCTATGTGTGTGTGGTCTCTGTCTTTATGTACTTTTATGTACAGCGAGTGCCGTGCATTTATGTATTGACTGTATTTCAGTGTGTGTGGGTGTGACGAGATGTTGACAACAACAACAAAAACAAGATGAGGGCCATGTGTACGTTTGTGGTAGTGATGCGATTAAGTCTTACACTTGCCAAAAAATAAATGGTAATCCAAAAAGGTTAACCGGTTATGCGCACTCTTGAACAAATTTTGTTTATTTTAGTTTTAGATCAGATTAAAATATCTTTGTAAGGTTTTTTTTTGTTTTCCCTCTAAATTTTGTGTTGTTTTTGTATCCTTATTTTAAAACCAATTTATTATGGCTTCTTAAAGTCACATTTGATTATCACATAATTTTAAAAATTTTAGTTAAATGCTCTAGAATAAAAATATTAAATACTTTTGGCATAAATATGTAAGCAATAATAATCTTAAACAATTTTATTAATTTGTGTTTTATGATTACGATTTATAAAGTGCTAGCGTTTATAATAAAAGTTACGTTAGTTATAGTGACTTTATTTTAAATTGTAAATAAATTGTGCATACAAGTTTTGTTTTGTGTATTCACCATCAAAGAGCAGCTCAGAAGTGGGTGGAAAATGGGGGAGGGAAATTGGGAAATGAGTGCCGGGTATAGGCACCCACCTTTCTCCTACTCCCTCCCACTTACACTCCCATATACATTCATACGTACATCTACACACACACACACACACAGCCTCATCTTCGCATTATCCCCACAATTTTTCCCATTTTCCTCCCAATTTCCCTCACTTTTCTCGTTCTCCCTTTTGCCAATGCTAATTTATTTTCGCTTTTTCCACATTTTCATACCTTTTCTTGCGCTTCAACAAAGCGGCACAAAGCCAAGAAAGAAGTGCAAAAAAAAAAAAGAAAACATCAAGGGGAAAAAACTTCGGAAAAGCATCTGCAACAACAACTGCATCTGCATGTGCATCTCGACGAAACAACAAAAGTTCCAAAGTGCAATAACCGTTTGCCATTAACCCTTCAATGGCCCCAGGGGCCAGCCCATTGACAGCCAATCGTCGCGATCTATGCGAAGCCGTACACAGCGAGAAAATAATGCCATACTTGTGAACTACCTTAAAACTCAGAAAGGCCCAATAAAAATTATATTTGTAAAGGTCTTAAAACCCAAAGATCACCAAAAATAGTAAATTCGTTTTGAAAGAATCGATGTATTTTATCAGGAATTTTTTTCTTTTTAGAAATATTTCTAAAGCAAATATGAAGGTATTGTGTCCTTTAATATTTGTGAAAATTGTAAAGATATTTTCCATTTGTACTGTTGATTATGATAATAATAAATTTCACATATCAGATTTTTCACTTACCCTCACTCCAATAAATCGAAATTGATCCATTGCTAAATGATTATTATTTTTCCGATGTGTGTTTTGTGTTTTTTTATTCAGATATGATAGTTTTTTCTGAGATTTTGTTTGGTCTTTGAACGTTTTACTTATTTAACATTTTATTGGTGATTTAATGATCGATTGCAAATGTCGGCAATAAATGCGACAAGATTTGTCAGAGCCATGGCAATAAAACAGCAAATTCATCTGAAAAAAATAACAATTTAAAATCGTTATTATGCCATATATTTATGACGCGCACTGCTTGGATTATATTGAGTCCCTTATCGAAAGACATTTCCTCTTATCATCAACTTTTGGGTTTTATATGTATGTATATAGCACCAAACAAAAATCAGCAAAAATATATTAACAATTGTGTTACGTTTTAATACATTTTTGAGTCTTCAAAGATTAAAAGCTAAAGGGAACTTTTATAAAAAAAAAATGTTACGATAAAAAATTGTTTATATAACGAAAACATAAATTATATCGAAGAAAGATTACGATCTTAGATATTTACGACTTTTTAATACTTTGTTGTTAACTCGAAATCTTTTATTAAACAAAAAATAGTGTCTAAGTGTTAATCTATTAATTTAAAAATACTTATAATATGAAACCTGCCCAAGTTTATGATTTTGCAACTGAAAAATATTATATTAATTCAAACTATTATTTTTCTTTACAAAAATAGTCTGTCCCGTCTAAGGGTTAATTTTTCGATCACAAATCCCAATTGGTTTTTGCCCGAATCTTCTCCATCTTCTTCTTATGCCATTTGTTGTTGTGTTGGTTGTTTTCCAGTTTTTTTAAGCCTTCTTTGACAATGTTGTTTTTGTTTTTTTTATTTACTTTAGATGTATTTCTACTCGCAGATAAACTAGGCACTTTAATCGTTTATAGAAATAAAAGATGCAAGGAAATAACACCAATTAAAAAAGCTAAATATCTGTGTAGCTGCCCCTAAAAACACACACACATACGTACATTTACTTGATTTTGATTTTTTACCGGTATCTATTTGCTGCTTGTGTTTTTGTTTTTGCGAGTGTATTTATTTGCATTTACTTTTATTCTTCAGCGAGTTTGTGTGTGTGTGTGTGTGTGCGAGAATAAAAGCGCCGGCTGAGAAAAAATAAAAGTCACTACAACAATAATAACAATACGAGACTTTTTTCACTCAAGTATCGCTGTCTCGCTCGCACCCGCTTCGCTTTACGTTTTCTTTGCTTTTGCTTTGCCTTTTTTTCGTTTCGTTTTTGCACACAACGCTGCGAGGTTAAGTTTGCAAATTCGGGAATTGTGCGATTTCTACGGCTTTTCCGCCATGGACATTGCATTTACAGCAACGAAAGGGATTTACCATACCATGTAGTATAGCCAGCATATAGCTTCCGCTTCCGATCGGATCGGATTGTCGTAAACTTTAAAGTTAAAGACTTAAACTTAGGGTTTTTTTGTTGTTTCTTTTCTGCTTTGAATTGGATGCGGATCGGAATTTTTGTGGCGTGGCACTGCCGGCACGGCACTCAAGGGTTAAGGGCCAATCGCCATGATCCCTAAATGTGTTTACTTCGGTTTTCCACAGCCGATTTTCGTCTATTTTGTCACAGTAAAAAAATATTCACAATATTCACACGAACGCACACACGCAGAAATGGGCTAAAAATATACTGTAATTTATTATAAAAAATACTGAATATCGGTATGAAAGAGGCCATCTGGCGGACCGATGAGTGCGCTTAACATGCACAATTGTGCCTGTTAAAGTCGCGGTTTCAGTCACTTGTTACTTAGCGAGTGCAGGCTCCACTGTTAGCCGGTTCGCTGTAGACTCTAGCGAGTTCACCATCCCTACTTAGCAAAGACACCCTCCTGATATATATTGTCCCATAATTGTGATGATATCGATTAGTTTATATCGAGGCTTGCCCATCACTATATAATTGTTGTTAAAACTAGCCGATACACAATCCGGTCAAAGCTGATACACACTCCCAACATAGCGAAGACATCTTGAATTATATTTATCGATATTTTTAAGGTATATAAGGAAGAACAAGCGTTATAGTTGCGGATTTTTGTGTCAAAACAAAATTAAGGAGAACGAATAAAATGTTTAAACATCTTCAATACATCTTTTATACATATATCTTTGAGAGAGAGATAGATTTGTCTCGAAATGCAAATTTTTAAAAGCTGTCACTGATTTAGTACGTAAGCGATATGTTAAAAAACCGGTACCATGTTAAAGTAAAATACCACCAACAGAACACCGTATTTGTAACATTATATTTATAATAATATACATTTTGTAAGAAATATCTTTGAAGATCTGTGATCAAAAAATTTAAAAAACAGCAATACATCGAAAGTTAACAGAAATGTTAAGATTAAGAGTTGTAATTTTACATTTCTGGTACCACGATAGACTTTAACTTTAGTGATGCCGAAACTCCGATAGTCACCTTGGAATATCGATACTTCCGAAAGTCTCAGAAACATCGATCCATCGATGGTTTCATCGGCCGTCTGCCACCTCTATCTAGTTTCACACTTACAAGCAAAACCATCGGTTTTTTTATTTGCGGCGTGCGGCGGAAAAGAGAAACCGAAAAGCAGCCAATTTATTGTTGTGATCCGATCCTGTTCCTGCAGGCTCCACTTATCTTTATCGCGTCCCCAACTTTTTTGTTCAGTGCATCAAGTGCAACAACAAACGGAGCGGCGGACAAAAGCGGACACGCAAAACACATAAAAAGGAAAACGAAGTACGCAAAAAGGAGAAAAGAGAAGCAGAAGCATTTACAACTACAGCAAAATAAAGTGATTACGCATATTTCGTATGTTGTTCTTTTTGATACCGTTTTTTTTTGCCATGTCGAAAAATACTTTCTTTTTCCCATACATGTACGAAAATTGATTAATAGCTAGAAAGGAATATTAGGTTTTTGTTTTATAAACAACATTTGTAAAAGCCGCCAAAAGGCGCCGCTGCCGCCGTCGCAGTCGACTTCAAAGAAAGTGTGTGTGTGTGTGTGTGGTTGTGTGCGAAGCAAAAGGCGAAAAAAAAAACCAAGCCCAAAAGTGAAATTTCTCTCAGCGTTTTTTTTTTTTGTTGCCTTGTTAAATATTTAAATGTAAACTAAATAAAAAGCATTTGGGTTTTGTGAGTGTGCGTGCTTCATTCAGCGAAAATAAAGGCGATAGAGGAGAGGGAGGCAGAGAAAGGGAAGAGAGAGAGCCTTTTATCAACGGCTATCAGCGGAAATATTTGTTGCCGCACCCCGCTTGACCTTATTCTCTTTCGCTCCCTCTCCCTTCCTTCGCCGCAACCTCGCCCCTGCTTTATCGCCCTCTCTTTTTGCGGGGTGTGCAAGGTGCAGTCGGCGTCGCCGTCGCCGCCCGCATTTTGCGCGTTGACTCATACACACATAAATGCCATACACACACGCCCCATCGCCCCCACCGACCCCTTCCAATTCAACCTCCTTTACCATTCCCTTCTGGGATTGTTTACCGTACCTTGCGGTATTTTCGCCAAAAATACTGCAGTTATTAAATTAAATAATGGGCAGTCGTGGTATTTTTCCTTGCAATCTCTTTAATTTTAAATTTATAAAAATGTTCTGACTAGAAATCATTCTGTTCGGAAGATACAACATTAAATAGCCAATGAAATTATCTTGCATTTTTAGATCCCAACATTTTTTTTTAAATCAGTATTATTATAAAACGTATCCTTCATATTTAAACACCTACAAAATCCAAATTTTTTGTAGTACAGTTATTACCCCTTAAATTAAAAAATAGGCAAATGTGCTATTTTTAAATATAATAATTATTGTTTGTTATAATTGCTGATACTTAGTTCTCTTTTGGGTCGTTTAACCTGCTTCACGCTTTTTCTCCACTTTGCGGTATTTTCGCGAAGAATACTGCAATTATTAAATTATAGAAACAAATCAAATTTGGTATTTTTGACTAATCGGTTTTTCTAGCCATGTCCGTCCGATTTTAAACAAACTAGTTTTTTTAGGTTTTAAAATGCCGACATACAACTTTCCCAAAAATCATATATTTTTATTCCACGCACAGTATAAGCCAAAATAAACAGAAAATTTAAAGGAATATCAAGATAACTCCCTTTTCTTAAACAAATATTCAAAATAAAATCTATAGTTTTCGAATACTTTAGTTTTATCATTCTTTCATAAAAATCTTACACTTGCAAAGCCATTTTAAAAAAGGTACTAAGTACATGCCTGAAAGGTTCTCAATCTACTGTATCCTGGAGATTAATTCCAGCATGACAATTCCACTTGTAATCACTTCATAAGCACCGACTACCAATATCGTTGGAAATATGTTTTTTTTAAATCCTAAATTCTTAATTAAAGTCAAGAATTTTTTTTTTATCACGAGTTGTATTTTCCGTTTCGTCTTCTAAGAACATTTGGTGGTATTTTTGTCACTTAAAATTCACGAAAATTCCTAGAAACAGTCTTGTTTTAATCTCAGTTATTTCGTGAGATCGTTTTTTATGGCATTCGCTTTGGGGCTTTTTCGGATACAATTTTTTGTTTATCTCACAATGACCCGTTTTCCGCTTTATTCTTTCCCCTTCCCACTTTACTTGATCTCGACGAACGTGCCAATTTTTGGATTCTGTTGCTAATCGGAGGAACCACTTTGACATTAGCGTTAGATCATCATGACCGTAATCGCGAAAGCCGCTGTATCTTTATCGGCATCTTCATGTTTCGTCTTTTTTTTCACCACGTTAAAAGAGCTGCAAAAAAATAATGTAAAAAAATGAAAACTGGAAACGTGACACAGAAAAATTGTTTGAATTTATGTTTTACAGTTTTTAATTAAGCCCAAGTTCAAGATCAATTTGTGTGCCTCCTGGTTTTAATTTAATACTTTTTTTCTGACTCACTCCTTGATGATTCCCGAACAACTTGTTTTTTCTGATGTGTGTCACACATACACCGTATTTTTCCCCCTTTCACCCGACGTTTGCTAATTATTATTTGTTTGTTTGGTTACCAAGGGGCGTCAAAAGCTTTCAGCAATAAAACGAAAAGCGAACGAGGGAAAAAAAGAGAATTATGCGAAAAAATGCGTTCTGAGTTCCTCCAAAACTGAACCATCGAACGGTTGACATATGGTTGGGGAAGTGAGATTCGGGTGTTATTGAGTTCATTGATTTTTTTTGTATCCGTGGTAAGAAATTTTTATATTTATTTAAAATATATTTTAGAGGAGGTTAGGTTATATGATAGTGGAGAAGCTACACTCCAAAAACAGTATGTATTTTTCGGTATTTTTACAAATACTGCTTAATTTTGATATATGTTATTTTCTGTTGTGTTTTAAACAAACTTATTTTAAAGAAAAAAAAATGTATTTGTCAGCAATAAAAGTCTATATATTTACAGAATTTTGTTTGTAAAAAGTTGATTTATTAGTTTAAGTTTCCATGGCAACTGAGCTATAAAAAATGAGTTATATTAACATTTCGCTTGTTTATTGATATTCCTAGAAATCGATTTCTTATTAAAACTGTAGAGTCAGTTCTATCAAGTTAAAACAAAAACACTACGTTATATTTGTAATATACCACAACATTATTTTGAACTCATTGACCTTTTTGCTTTTTTGCCTTTGACCTTTTTCTAATACAGTTCTATGGCAGGTGAGAATAGATTAACAACAGAGGAGTAAAAAAAACCCGCACTGACTCATGATCTTCACGATCTCTCGCAGTGACACAGTTTCTATATATTTTTCTCATCTTTTGTTCGTCGGCATCTCCGACATTTGCTAACTTGGCCCAAAGGCAGAAGATAGCGCAACTCGGCAACTTAGCCTAATTTATAGCCATCAAGCTGTGATTTGCTCTAATTTCACTTCTAATGGGAGTTCGTCAAGGGAGACAAATCAGATAAATGGGTTCTTTTTCTTGGCCAAGACTCTATTATGGCCACATAAAAGTTAGTCTTATACGTGTGTTGATGTTGGCCTAATGCATGTACACTTAATTTGCTATGGGAGGAACCAAAGAAAAGGTCCATAATGTGATTTGCCAAAGTGAAGAGTTCATTTTGACGAACATGTCTGATTTATATGGTTTTTATGATGACCGAATTTGACTGTCAAATGTGTTTTTGTAATGGCTCCGATTATCAGTTTTGTTTTAAATGAAAGACTATAAATCCCTAATTGATTGATTGTACACATTGTAGATCAAAGTACAATTTTCGTTCTTAAAGAATTTAAAATTTACAGATCTTCCAGTTGTTGATCTTACTATACCCATCAAATTCGCGTAATCATTTATATGTTTGCCCACTTTAGTTGTTACATCATCGTATCAGCATCTCCAAAGTTCTCCAGCAATATACAGGCCTTATACAGGTTTTATTTTGTTTTGTGTTCAGGTTCTCAAGTGTTTCTCCATGGCTTTTGTTGTTGCTCTATCGCATTTGAAGATCTTTTATCACAGCTGACTATGCCTAGGTTTTAATTATGCTCCCCTCGCTTCAGAAAACACTTCCCACGCATTGTATCGTATATGTACCTATTTTTCTTTTTCCACTCCGGTGTGAATTGAGTTTATTTTTTATTTTTTCTATGGGGTATATCTATGTATCTCTATCTCCAAAAGCAGATCAAACTTGCTCGTCCAAATAAAACGCTTTGTAAATGGCTCTGAGCCACGCATTTCGCTTGACAAGTTTTTCTCAACATGTGCAAAGAAAGTTGTAAAAAAAAGTTGTACAGCAAATGAACAAGTTCCCCAACACTTTCTCAGCATAAAAAAAGATACTTGCCGATTTCGCAGGGGGGTCAGCAGAAATGTACAATAGTTCAAAGCGACACGGCCACAGAGACAATTAAAAAAAATGATTAAGAAGCATTACACTCTTATCAATAATTGTAATATCAATTGGGAAAGTTTATATTTATTTCCAGAATCTTAACTAAATTAATGGTATACTAAAACAATTTTTTTTTAATACTTTTCAAAAAGAATGTTTTATTACTATAGTCTTTGATATCCTTAGATATTGATGAAAAGTCATTATCATCCTTAGTAAATCTAGATTATTTACAATTTTGTTAAAAAATTTTGATGGTATTTTTTAGGATATTTTGAAAGTATTTTCTCTCTGTGGAGAAGCTTTTTTCAACTTGACATTGAAAGCGTTGCACGCGACTGCGCAGCGGCGTCGAAATCGTTGACTAAATGCAAATTCAAATAAGTCACAAAAATAGTGACTCAGCTTGAAAAAATAGCATTCCCTATAGAGTTATTTTCGTAGCTGATTCTTTTGAGAACGCTTCACAAAATAGTTGCATACTACAGATTTTATCTTTTTGCTTTGTTATGATATATAACTTTGCCTTAATTTTGAAAATGTTTTTTGATTTTTTTTTTTAAATCTTTAATAGCTTTTTATTAAATTTATATCGATAAAATCAAATAGAATCAGAGAAGTCTAGAAATGGGCACCAGTTAAACAACAATGATGGTGAATAATAACTTTATTCGAATAATAATGTGGATTATAGAAAATAATAGGGTTGTACGACTATTTATCGATTGTGATAACAGAAGATTGCTAAAAACAATCGATTCGATACGTTTATCGAATTTTGTTATTCAGTGTAGTTCGCCTTAATCGCACAAGTGCATTGAACTGATCGAACGGAGGAATAGCCATCTCCTCAATGAAATAAGAAAAGTTCACTTATAGAGATT